CTTGGATAGAGAAGGGAAAGAAAGAAAAAAGAAAGAGAGAAAGAGAGAGAGAGAAAAGAAAGGAATGAAATGTTAAAAAATTTTTCCTAACTTTCTTCGAACATCTTTCTTCATACTCGAGAATCCTCAAGAAAGTAGAATTCTCTTCGATGACCTTGTAACATTGAGATGATTGAGATCCTTCGACGTGCTAGAAAAGCTGTTCGTTAATCTCACGTCTATCGGCATCCTTGACATCTAATCGATATCCTAGTTCTTCTCGGTGATAAGGGAGAAAAGTACTATTCAGCCATCTTGATGTTTTAATTCAATGGAATTGAAATTTTCTCCGGGAATGGAATATCGTCACGATTCCTTTTCAAAGATTCTATTGTATCCATCCGCGAATACTAATATCTATTTTCATTCATGTGAAAATTCATATTCTTTTTTCCCTTTCTTTCTTTTATTTTATTTTCTTTTTCTTCTTCTCCATTCGTTTCATTTTTAAAATATGTGAATCGCGAATCGACACAAACGTCTATGGTTAAATTGCTTTGAATATACGTACATATAATTTATCGTGAAATTCTTGATTTTGCATTCCCTAGCGATCACATTGAAACTTTCAATAAATATGTTAGAAAACGTTTCTTTCTCGTCTCTCTCTCTCTCTCTCGTCTCTTTTCTCTCTCTCTCTCTCTCATTTACAACAAACACATTCCTACTTATTCAAAACTATACTTGCATACGTATGCAAACACATCATAAATTCTTTTCTAAATTTACATGCTTATTCACAAAGGTGAAGCTTCTTTCAGTGATTCGAAAATGTTATTTTATTTGGAAAACTAAATTTATTGTTACATAAAAGTTATTGACAAACTCAATATCTTTTATGTTAATACCGTATGTTCCATTGAGCTCCAATAATAATTAGAAGTTTTACAGGTATTATAGATGAATGAATTCCATTAAAAAAAAAAAAAAAAAAAAAAACAAACAAAATAAAAAAGAAGAAAAGAATTCGACAAAATATTTTAGCTGTACGAAAGAACAATAAAAATTTTTATGCATATTCAGATATCGATTATAAATGCAAAAAAAAAATCTTAGAGATTTTGTTTTCATTTAATCCATACAATTTGTACTATCTTCCTTTCTTCCTTTACATGTATATATAATATTACATATATTATAGATAGATGATAATCTTAAATATAACTATTTTATTATTCATAAAAATATTTCCGTCTACCGAAATGGAAAAACGTTTTAAAAGAGTAGACAGCAAATTCCTTTCAAACTATGTTCAACAATTTTTCTCGCAAGCATTGATGATTCCTGTGTACATTCCGCCCACATCTTACGTACGAAAGACGTTAAACGAGACGCGATTTTCGCGTGGGTTTTTCGTTGATCCTTGCCAAAATTTCATTCATACTTTCTCATAAATATCTTCTCATACATAACATCTCACAACGCTTTCGTATTCGATGAACGGAACATTACATAACTTTTTAGTTATATATTTTTTTCTCTTATGATACGTCATGATTGTTCTAAAATTACGTTCAAATGAATAACCTTCTTCGTGACTTTGAAAATAAAATATATTATCTATACGATTACGATAACGCGATTATCTCGAGAAAAAAAAAGACTAACAGAATTCTAAAGAAAAATTTATTAAAAATCATATAACTGTAAATTATGCAGATTATATCAATTATCTAATTAAAGTCATTAATTAATGCGTGCAATTATCTGATCAATTAAGTATGTTTTCTTCCGCGTTAAATGAAAAATGATCCTATTTAAAAACATCTATTAAATAAGAAAGAAATCGATAAAAAGAAAAGAAATTAAAGTAACTGGAATCGATACTTTACGAGCTTCCTAAGCCCATGCTCGTTTGCATTATCCGCTACTTTCATTAACACCGAAACCATCGATTCTTATTCCGGATTAACGAGGAACATGTACGTGAACCAGCTTACGACTTCATAAACACCTTGATAAAGGAACGATCGAACGTGATATTCCCATACGATCTACATTCTACAGATATACACATACACGCACACATACATACACACATTTATGTTTCCTATTATTTCCAAAGGAAAATAGATTGATCGGCTGATATTATTCGAGAATTATTTTGTCTCGTAATACATACAAATGTAATTGAAATATATAGATATAGATAGATAGACAGATAGATAAATAGATAGATAGATAGATAGATAGATAGATAGATAGATAGATAGATAGAAAGAGAGAAAGAGAGACATAACATGTTTCAGTATATGTATATTATAAGTATATAGTATACATTTATACCTTACTCATCGTTTGGTCTCCAAACGAGGAGAAGATAAAGTGAATCCTAACGATCGGTTCGTCCACGAATAATTCTTGGATAAGCTTGGCGCGTGCAAGGAAGGCAAAGTAACGTTTGCATTTGAACGACCTCATTACTAGATCGCATCTCTAGCACTAAACTCTACGTATCCTTTCTCCTTTCCACCCGTAGAGTATGTTACTGGAGAAGGAAAGATATAAATGTTCACGAATGTTCCATAGGGTTTGAAATTCCTTGGGACGACAAGCTTCTTCTTAAATCTGTCGAGGAGGATTCAGTTTTTCGTTGATTCTATTGTAAGATGAATGATGCGGTTTTACGAACTGGGTCAAACTTCGTTGATCGGTCAGTCTTGATAAAGGACCTTTTTCATATCTTTCTTATCTTTTTCTCTTTCTCTTTTTTTTTTTTTTTTTTTTAACAGAAAAACTTGATCATAAGTTAGAAAAGTTTATATAAAATACGCGTGTTTTTTATCGACGAAAAAAGAAATCGTATTTCGGATTAAACATTTATAGATACCTTTGCTTGTATGAGTTTTACTCGTTCACGTTAAGTCAATGCGTAAAGGTTATATTTAATCGTAGAATATAAAAAATTAATTTAATGTATGTAATGTATGTAAAAATTTAATGTATGTAATATATGTAATGTAAATTAATTTAATGTATGCAAAAATATATATTTTACGAAAAAGAAATAAAATCTTCGAATGAATTTCTAGAGAAAGAAAAAGAGAGAAAGAGAGGGAGAGAGAGAGAGAGAGAGAGAGAAAGAGAGATTTCAGTTTTCTTTTCATATAAATAAATTTTATTGACACGTAATTGTGTTAATGCATACGCATAGATCGTATTAGTAAAATACATAACAAAGTATACATTTCGACGAAGAAAGAATTAAATTCTCGATTCAATTTGTAAAGAGATTTGTTATTCCATTTTATATGAAAATATACTTGATTTATAAAGATTTTATTTCGATCTATACATATACATTAGAGTCACACATACATATGTATTCGTTCAACTTACTCACAGAAAATTCTATCCTTCTTTTTATGTGCGCTGACTTTGTAGAAATTAATGTTCGCTCTGGCGCACACGTCTGCCGACCAAAGAATGGTCGGTCGATCGTTCGCGCTCTTATCGAAAAAGATTTCCTTCTCCAAAAGCTCGATCCGTTGAAAGTAAAAAAGAAGAGTGTAGTAAGTAAAGATTGGCGTTAAATGTATCCAAGATAACAAGATAGATGTAAGAATATAAGTCGATGATACATAAGAAAAACTCGAAATAATAATCGAGTTCATCCTTCCCTTTTAATATCTCTCTTTTTGTCTTTTCTTTTAGAGGGCGTCGATAAACGAGAGATATTGTCGAGTTTAATAACTTGGTAGTAGAAAGTTTTTTATCTCGGTGGCTTCGTACAATATCGTACGTAAGATATATATTTTATGTCAACATACATAAAATACATACGTATGTATGTTCCTCGTGTGTACACACAAACAGATATTGCGAAAAAAGAAGAGGCAGTAAATCGTGAATCCTGTCGTTCTTTCTAACGACATACGTGTATTTCTTTTTCCAACCAATAAATTTCATGCCTATTCGAGTATTATTGAATGTAACCGTACATCCTCTCTAATCCAAGATCTAATATTTCAATTTAGCGAGCTTAATTTCAGTTAAAAAAAAAGTCCAGGAAAAGATTTTCCTTTGGATCAAGCAATATGGCGAAATAAAATATGCCTCTGAGTGAACAGAGAAAAAGAGATAAAGAAAAAGGTAATTGACGATTTTATTTAGGAAGAATCATTTAATGATCGTTAAAGTGGATCTTGAAGAAAAAATGTAATAGAAAATGTACAGATCCTCTCTCTCTCTCTCTCTCTCTCTCTCTCTCTCTCTCTCTCTCTCTCTCAAATATGTACAGCAAAAAGAGCGACGAAAAAGCAAGGCAAAGAACGACGTGACGTGTCCGACGAACAATTTGGCTAGAATCCAAACCGAACTGCTCCGAGGCTAACGACATTAGAATATTTGTCGAGTAAGTCGTGTGCCGGTAAAACACATTCGTATTCCTCGAGGGCGAGGTCGAATATCGGTTTGATTCTTCTCTGTTCCTACTGAAACTTTACTTTTTATTTTCAGCACAAAAAAAAAGAAAAAGAAAAGAAAAAGCAAATAAAAAATAGAAAAAAGGGAGTGTAAGTAATGAGAGAAAGCTTAGTTTTATTGTCGGCCACGTTCGTTACTCTAAATAAAGCAAACCTACCTAGCGTTAGTCTCTCGAGCTTTAACGATGTTCATTTTTCACGATTTTCGAAGAAAATCTTTCGAGAGAATCGAAGGATCAACCTACTTGATCGTAGAAAATATTTCGTTAAAATTTTTATTCCAAAAAAATATTTACAATATTTTCACGCTTTATTTATTAGATAATTAAAAAGGATACTTTATATGACTATTAATTATAAATTATAACGTCGTTCAATTAAGATAATCAACGACGTAAAATCAACTTTTGTCAATATTTTTTTATTTTTGTGAAGCTTAAAAATTGTTCTCGATAAGTTTTACTCTATATCGAAACAAGTAAAAAGTTAGACACATATCTCCTCTATTCAATAAACGTTTCCATTATTTTCACACAGCTGATGAGGGTATGTTGCTGAAGCTGGACTTTCGGGACGAATTCAAGCTTGAGGACAGTCCCGAGTGTCGTTTCGATTCTCTCGAGGTCCGTGACGGCAAGCACGGATATTCGAACCTCCTAGGAAAGTTCTGCGGCTCGAATTTCCCGCCTGAGATCACTTCGAAGACGAGATACCTCTGGCTACATTTCCACAGCGACGAGAATATCGAAGGCAAAGGATTCAAGGCCGTCTGGAGTATGATACCCAGACCAACTTATCGTAAGTCTATTCTAGTGGAGTCGACTTCCCTTTCAACCTCGTCTTCCGAACCTTCCAAATTTTATCGTAACATCCACAATTTCTTTTATGACTATCATTTAAAATCACCATACCATCGATATCAAAAATATACCTTATCTTACGTAAATGTATATATTTATGTATGTAAGTATCTACATGAATCTCAATGCTAATACAATCTGCTCTCGTTCCTATTCTTCTATATCGATTCTCTATTATCGATATTACGGAACATCGTGCATGATATTCATCTTTATATTCGAATTTTTACATTCTACAGGAGACAAAGAATCTGGTTAGAATATAATTAAGAAAATAAAGAAAATAAATTTGTTTCGTTTGACTGTTAAAAGAATATCTTTTGTTTAATGGATGATCGATTAATGCATTTCATAAGATCGCCGACGTATCTATTCAATGGCTAAGGACAATCGTGATCTTCCCACAGCTAGAGTGTTTCGATCGTAACGATTATAAACGATTAATGCGAACGGAGAATGGCATAGTAGTGAATACATTCAGTAGCTTCCTCGCGTGGCTCGTAGACCCCGAAAATTAGGAGACACTTCGGGAATGGATGGTCGAGCGAGCCGCGCCGAACCATAGCAGCTAAGAGAAATAGAGAGAGAGAAGAGGGAAAGGGAGAGAGAAAGAGAGAGAGAGAGAGAGAGAAGAGAGAGAGGGAGGGATAGAGAGTGCTGTTCGTACCTACAGTCAGAATTAATTCATACTCATCGGAAGGAACCGAGAATGGGACTATGAATACGTGGAATACAAGCGTGTTACTACTATCGCCATTCTGATATACCATTCTGGCCTTTGTCGAGAATTATCAGGTAGAACGCGTTATCACTAAAGACGGACAGTGGAACGCACGATTGTTTGAACTTCCAAAACGTATTCCATCCCCTTAGGCCGAATACCTTCAAACTAGTTGTTATACAAAAGTTTCTATCGTGTGATTTTAATATATAAGCGATTAATTTATAATATTTTACGTATAATCATCGATTTAACTAAATAAAAAATTGTTTCCTTAATTTATTAAATAGGTTTCATTGATTTAAAAAAAAAAGATCGTAATTTCTTTAATCGTGCTATAATGAATTTTTTAATTTTATAAAAATAAATTTCTCGTGAAAGGATGCAAAAAATAAAAATAATAATTCATCTTCGATATTATCGTATAGATCGTTTTTGACTAATAAGCAAGAAAAATAAGAAATATCGACGAAAAGAGACGTAAGAAAAAGTTCAAAAGATGGATCGAACGATGTCTAATTCGAATCGAGTTCGAAACTTTTCTCATAATTTGGAAAAAAAAATTCGTGAGTATATATGAATGGAGATACGCCTTAGATACTCTTCATAGGTACTCGTCAAATCTGACGCATTGTTACGTACATACATACATACATATATACATACATGTATGCATATATATAAGATATACTTTTATCGAACATTACTTATCATTCCTTTTTATCATAAAAATCGAGTAAAAAGGATAGATAACATGCGAGATATTTTCGATCGCTTGGATCTTTTCAAGAATATACTTCCATTATTCGAATAAATGCACATACATTTATAACGGACAAAACGGAACAAACTTCTCTTTTCTTGTAACTTCCGATAGAACCTTTCCATTAGTGGAAGTTAATAATTCGAATATATAAAACGAAGAGGAAGAAAATATGATTTTCTATTCGTCTATTTGAAAATAACTTGTAATATTTTTATTAAGGAAATACCTCGATATTTTCTTTCTTTTACGAAAAGAAAAAAACAAATTTTAAATTGTTTGAAATCGAGCCTAGGGAAAGTGTAGAACTGTAATAGGTATGATCCACAGCCGGAGTCCCACCAGAGATAGAACCGTGCTTAGTTAACGTGACCGGTGACGAAGCTATTATCAGCCATAATGATGTAGAGGACAAGAAAAAATTAGCCGAGAAGGAGGGCATAGCTTTGGACTGTATGTGGGTGATAAAAGTTAAGGAAGGATGGAAGGTAAGGTATTTCTTAATTTTCTTACTTATTTACAAGATAAAAAATATAAGGTTCATTAAAATGTCACGTTGATAATTCAGAACCCAATTTCTTCTTTCTTCTTTTAAAACTATTTTCTTAACTACCTGTTCTATGTTTCTTTTTTCTTTTTCCTTTTCATTTCGTTTTCTTGCGTTTCCTTCATTGGTAGAGATCCATTAATTATAAAAATAAATTTTTAAAAAGGTAGAAACCCATATCTAACAAGACGAGTAATATACTTAATTATTTGAAAAAGTCTCTCGAATTAATATTTGTATTTAAATGGAAAAATATAAAAAATGTTTCTATATTTTATCTATTATTCTAAATATCGTTGTAACCATTGGTTTTTCTTTTCTTCTAAAAGTAACGAAATTGTATTTCGTTACAGATACAACTGGCATTCCCGGACTCGAACCATTTCAAGTTGCAGAGGCCAAACGAGTGCGAAGCCAATTTCCTCGACGTTTTCGAAGAGAAAACAGATCTCCGTTCACGATTGAAAAATTTTTGCGGTAGCATCGCCGATACGGTCATAGTGAAATCGAACTTAGCATATGTCCGTTATTACGCCGAGCCTAAAGCTTTAAACAGCACCTTTGAAGGTGTAATGACTGCTATCAGGGACAAAGAAGCCGGCGAATCAAGTGAGTTTAAAAGAGTATAGAAATTATCGATTAATATTTTGAATTCCATTGAATTTTACCTACAATGAACTAGATTCATAAGCTATTCTATTTCTGTATATTTGTTTTTTTTTTCCGATGCATTTATATACATAAAGCAAAGTTTTCAAATGTTTTACTTATTTTTAAAATACAAAATGTCTTCAATTAAACGTGTTTATTTCAAATACATTTCGCTTATATTATATCAATTATGGCATATTGTCATTAAAGTCTATTATCATTTATACATAACAACGATGATTCAATATTATGACTATTCATATATTACGGTAATTATAATTTATCTGATGCTATAAAATAACATAAAAAATATATAAGATAATATAAGATTTGATTACTCTAGCATGAAAAAAAAGAGAAAATACAATTAAGCGCATGTTCTGTAAGTTTTTAAACACTACGAAAAAATTTATAGCAAATAAGGAATATAAAGTAAAATATCTTAATATTTGATATAATTGATGGCAACTCTCCGTTACAATTGTATAAATGAAATGGACAACATTCATTTTTTCTTTTTTTTTTTCTTTTTCATTATCCCTTGATGAAACAATAACAATGAGCAATACGATCGTCACTAACTAAATTATTTAACTATAGAAATTATTTGCAAAATAGTAATAAATATAAAGAGAGAAAGTTGATGCTACAATGTTTATTAAATTCCTACTAGATATATATCTATCCGAGTTATGTTTTTATGATCTGCTTAATATGTTGAAATTTATACGGTTAATGAGCTAATCTTTATTAACTTATAACAAAGTTTAATACATCTCACATCAATTTAACAGGAATTTGATAATAAAGGGATATCGTACATAATCGAACTAATGATAATAAATGCTTGACGTTACTATGTAGAGCGTTAATTAAATTTAATTTATTAGTAACGAAACATGATAATGCGGAGTTGAAATCTCTCTCTGATAATTTACGTCACAATGTTGCTAAAATTTAAAGAATGAATGAAATATGAGTGAATGAGAAAAAAGAGAAAGAGAGAGAAAGAAAGAAACATCAGCCAACAAAAAAGGTTACGGCTGATTTTTTAACGACAATAAGGAAATCGGTTCTTATGTTTATTAATTCTTTTTTTAAAGTTTCGTTCATTCTTTCTTCTTTTGTCGTTTTCCTATATTAAGCAACGTATAAGCAACGTTGACTCTCCCAACGTTAAAATTAATTAAATTCAACGCTCGCGTGACTCGTTCGGACATATACGTTTTTGTTCTCGCAGATGAAAACACACATGCTCGACTCTAATGAAAGTCGTGAAATTAACGTAGATACTGTTTCCTTTTTGTATTAAGAAAATTGTGAAAATAATCCTGTACCACAATTGTTCAAAAATCGTTCAAATGTCAACCGTGAACGTTAACGAAAAGATAAAGACAAAGACGAAAATTCAGTTTTATTGATCACATTTTGTTCTAAAAATATCATTCGTATTTTTCTTTTTTTCTTTTTTTTTATTGATAATCAATGATTGATATTTTATTATAAAGAAAGAATAAATTTTACACAATAATATGTACAACAGTTTGTTGTTCGTAACATATGTTTTTTTTGTTTTCTTTTTCAGAAAATAGAACAACATAATATGCTGAATATATATTTTGTATTTACTTATTATCAAAACCTTGCCAATTGGATAAATTTTAACCAAATTAACTGAATTTTGCTTGGATATACATATATACACTAAATATGCATATTTACTAGTTGCTTAAAGTAATAATTTGTATGAAAAAAAAAGAAAAGAAAAAAAACATAAAAACATTAAAAAATATACATGTCATAATATAGATACAAATGAATTTCAATCCAGTATTATTATCATTTGTATGAAAGATTTAAAATCGATACATGTATTATATAATAGCTACATTTACACTATAATTATATAGATATGTTACTTAAACGACGATAATCATTCGATAAAGGCCAACGAATTCAGAGAATTATCCTTCGTAAATCCGTCGTGAATCATAAATGAGGTAAGCCAAGCAAATTCGCAATTACGTGTGCAGAATTCTCGTTAGATATCGAAGAGAAATCCTTGAATTTCGACGATCAAACTTTGATACCGATCCTGATATCTCACGCAAGGGCATAGAATATTAAACGTTTAAAGGTGTTGATTTATACCTCCGGAAATAAATTAATAACGAATAAATTAATTCAACAAATGTTTTTTTTTTTTTTAGTCACAGAGGAAACAATTAATAAAAAAAAAAAAATTTTATTAAAAAAGGAAGAAAGAAAAAAAAAAGGAAGAAAATATACTTAAAGTTCTCACTCTCGTGAATCGAAATTTCTCATTTTTTATTTACGACTGAGACATGTATTTTCTGTCTTTCTCTCTCTCTCTCTCTCTCTCCCTCTTTCTCTTTTACCTTTTCTTTCTCTCTATCTCTATCTATTTTTATCTCATATACAATCATTCGAAATGTTGTACGTGTTTCAAAGGAGTCCTTTAAATTTCACAGCATGCAGAACCGGAGAGTACGACTGCGAGGACGCGACCTGCATCGCCTCTATATTACAGTGCAACGGAAGGATCAACTGCCGCTTCCGGTGGGACGAAGACGACTCGACATGCGACGTGAGTGGTGACTTTCTCTATCCGAGAAGAAAATCCAATAACCGACTTTCTATGATCGCACTAGTAGGGTGCTTTCCAATTCTCGACTTTGAAAATCGTCGCATCCCATCTTCTCCCTCTTTCTGTAGAATTGCATTATTTTCAAGCTTTTTCTCTCTTTCTCTTACTTTCTCTCTCTCCCTCCCTCTCTCTCTCTCTCCCTCCCTCTCTCTCCCCCTCTCTCTCTCTCTCCTCGTTTTCTAGAAAGAAAAGTTAATCCGCTTCAGGGAAAAATAACGGTAAAAAAAAAGAAGGAAGAAAAAAGATAAAAAGGAAAGAAAGGAAAAAAAAACGAAAATAAATCCTCGATTTCGCTACGACACGATCGTAAAAGAAAAATTACGTGTGTAAGTCTAAACCTCGTAATTCCTAGGCTTTTCGCTCTGTGTTCGTGAAAAGCAGCAAAGTTGACTATCGTAAGCGGTTTTATCTTTGATATAGGTATCTACCTACCTAGCTATTATACGAACTTCTGAGGTAATCGTACGCGTTAATTATAAAGCATCATCGAAATTTCTCTAAAGGATCCTCTTTATAGTTTAAGTAAGTACAAGTACCGTCGACCTATAGATATCGATCTTCAAACTCAATTTTCAACAGGCTTTCTATTGAATAAGACCCAAAGATAAAGTTCAATATATAAATTTTCCATTCGAATTAATCGCCATTTACTACTACAAATGATCGAATCAACATTCTCAAATTTCTCTACGATAATTCTTTCTTTACGTGTAAACTGTTCCGTCGAATTTTAAAAGAAAAAAAAAAAAAAAAACTGTGAAATGTCTTTTTAATAATCTCGTCTTTTAAAAATAGATATTAGAAATAATTGCCCTGAGAAAGTTCAAAAATACCAAATACCAAATACCATAATTACGTCTTAGATATGAAGTCCCATGAGAATGATGCATTATTAGACTTAATCGTCTTTTGTTTCATTTCTACTTATTTTGTCCTTCTCCAAATCTAATTAATTTATACGAGGGAAGTTTTGCTTCCAGCTAGTTTATCTCTTTTCTATCTATCTATCTATCTATCTATCTATCTTTCTCCATCTCTATCTTTATCTTTAAAACGTAACCGTGGTTCCTCCTACTATGTTCAATCTCTTCTACCCTTCTCTACTCGTTCTCCTTTCCAGGAAGCTTTTGGAAAATTTGAACGTGTACCGTCGGTTAGATAGGTGGGTGTTTCCGCTTCCGGAACGCACAATACTATGCGCTTTTGGCAAAGTACCAGGAACAGATCCTGGTAGAAAGGATCCAATGGCACCGACGGGATATTAATCTATCGTCGACGAATGACCATAGCTTTCTACCTTTCTCTTTCTCTCTCCTTCTCCTTTTCTCTTGAAATAGGTGTTGAGCAAAGATATGTTCTACAAATATTTTTACGACTTTGTAAACATATATATATATGTATATATCATTCTCTCCCCTACTTATCGCTTAATAATTTAAACTCGTTACTATTTTTTATAGAAATTTTACGAGAATTCAGTAACTGAGAAGCTAATTTAAATCATCAATATATAATAAATTCTTTGATTTCGTATTAATTTTTCTGTATCATCGAAAAAAACCACATTAATTCGGTAGAATATATAAATGAAATATTATGTTCGATGTACAAACGAAAATTATCATTCTCATGAAGAGCGGGAAGATTTGAAAATTATTATTCTTTTCCTTTTTTTTTTATTTTTTTTTTATTTTTTTTTTTTTTTATTATTCTGGATAAATAACAACTAAATCCTTAATCGTTCTTTAATAATCCCACATCCGTTTATCCGTTTATTCATTCGAGAGATGAAATCTCAAAGAGAGACAAGCTTGAAGATGTGCGATAATCGAGTGTCTGCGAATAAGTTCGTTAAATCAAAAGATTAGCTTATACGGGAATCGTTCTCTACTTTATCCTTTTTCATGGATTTCACAAAATGAGACAGACAGGAGATTTCATCGAGCGATCATAACTGTGAAAGTTATAATAATACAACGGTGGAAAATGATCTGCATTAATCCTATTATAAAACGAACGTTCGGTAGCCACCAACCAAGCTGTGTCAGAAATTTTTTACCTTTACAAAGAGAATTTTTCTATAGAGACCGAGCCTTCCGGAGTGTTATAAAACGAATTTTTCCAAGAAAAAAGAGTATCGAGCGAATACTCGGTTATTGCGCACGCAGGGCCGACGAAAATTTGTCCATCGATCGTCTACGCACGTGTTCCTACAAAACGAAAAATGGAAAAAATTACAAAATTCCACGAAACGATTAGCGAACGAGTAGAAACCGCAAAATTCGCGAGAACTTGGCAAGCATGCAAATGGCGACAATTTGCACTCTTTCTCTTTCTCTCTCTCTCTCTCTCTCTCTCTCTCTCTCTCTCTCTTTCCATTTTTTCTCTCTTTTTCCCTTTTTCGCATTATCTTTTAACATTTTCTTCGATTAATCACAAAGTAATTGTGATTTATCGTCCACGAAATGTGTACTATTTATTGGACTGTAGGAAAGAAAAAAATATTTATTTGCTCCATATCCTTCTATCTCCCTCTCTCTCTCTCTCTCTCTCTCTACCTACCTATCTATTTATCTATCTACCCATCTTTCTCTCTGTGTTTCTTCTTTTGATTTGTCCATGTTCATGAATACATCTCTTGACGACAGTAAACTAAGAAAAGATTGTACGATACAATAATGGTCATCAGTTTCACGTGGAAGCGTGAGGATGAAATTTTTCGTATGGAGAAATACGTGCTGAAGCATGAGGAAATCGCGATCTGTAAACTGGGACACACACCATTGTGCCATTCAATTTTATTTCGGACATAATAGAAAATAGCACTATGAATTGGGAAAGAGAGAGAGAGAGAGAGAAGGAAAGAAGAACAGAGTGCTATTGGAAGATGGTCCACAAAAATCATAATGGAAAGCATGTATATATACCTACGTATATTGAAAGAGGCTATTTTTGGATTATTCAGAATCGCTTCGTAAATTTTGGCATGGTAAATGTGCGATAATAATTATTACAAAAAAAAAAATAAATAAATAAAAATAAAAGTGAAGCAAAAATTAAAAACAAGAGAAGAAAATTATGAGAGTATAATAAATACTGTTTTCTAAATAATTCTCTTGCGGAGTATGAAATTAATGACGTGTGTAAATACGTGATCATCGTAAATAGTTCGTATTTTACATTTCATTTTCTTCTTTTTTTTTTTTTAATTTCTTTCTTTTCTCTCCTTTAATTCAGTATTTGAAAAGAGATAAGCTATTGTGGCGTATACATGTGCGAGAACGAGTAATTACCTGAACACATGTGATCCTCGTAAATAATATGATTCGTTTTTCTTTCTTTTTTTTTTTTTTTTGTTTTTTTATTTGCGTTTATCCTTGTTCTTTCCCATTCTTTTCTCTTTTCTAATTGAAATTACGAAAAATAGAAGACACTTTGTATAGTTAGATGAATAATCGTATTAAAAGTAAAGAGATTTAACTTTCCAATTCCATCGTAATTAATACGATGGGGAATTGATTTAATTCTTCGACTTATAACCGCGATGCAATTTCGCGAACGAATTTCACGCTAATTCCCTGAACGTGTTACTCTACGAAATGGGTGTTAAGGGGTAGGAGGAGAGGTATTGCAAGAGGGTGTTGAAGGAGAGGAAGAGGGATTCAATACCTACGTGATATTGAAGGTGACTCAAGACAGCTGGTAATTCAATTAATATGTGATAAAATTTGCACCCCCATTAATAATTTCATTTCATTTCAATTTCATTTCATTTCATTTCATTTCATTTCATTTCATTTCATTTCATTGGAACGATCAAGGTTCGTGTCTCGTGCGTGTTTACGTATTATCGCTTAAAGCTATGAATCGGCTGATAGCAATGAAGAATATTTTATCTTTTTTTGTTAAAAGAATACTTTGTTTTTTTTTTCTTTTTTATAATCAAGCGCAAAATATTCTATTCACGACATTGGAATAAATTCTAAAGAGATCGAATCGACAGTCATAGGCTCAAAACGACTAGCGAAATGGTTGAAAACACAAAAGCCAAAAGCTACGAAGCCATTGGGCAAACCGTCCAATCGTTGGCATGAAAATTGGACAACTTCAACAAGAGGCTTGAAAATCAGAAATGACAGGACATAATTCTCCAAATTGAAAAAAAGTGAAAGAAGAAGAAGAAGAAGAAAAAATAAATAAATTTTAATTTATATTTTCTATCTCAATTTTATCACGTGCAAATTTAATAATCTTATTCGTAATATTAAAACGAATGTATTGTATATTTTCTTATATTCATTTGTTTTTTTTTTGTTTTTCGTTCTTTTCGTTATTTATTTCGTCAACAGAATTTCTTTTCAAAGGACATTTACGCGACGAGAAAACATTTTAGTATCTAAGAAAATACTACTACTAACATATGCTTCCTTCGAATTTCCTTTCTCATTTTTAGTCCTTTTTCGTTGTTCTTCCGTCTTCTGTCTGTAATTACTTCCTTGCGGCGGAAAGCTTTCTTTTGTATACGAAGTAGCAATAATTTCCTTTTTTACTACGAGTTTCCTTCTCTTCTCGACTGCTACGAATGAAGAAACAAAAAAGAAAAAAGAAAAAAGAAAAAAGAATAGAAAAAAGATAAAACGAGATAAAAGAAGAAACAAGTAAAGAAAAAGGAACAAAAGGAATTACTGATCCACGATAAGAAATGAATACGAGTTGATCTGATAGTCAATTGAGATTAGATTGAAGTTTGCAATTGTATATGTATATATATGCGTGCGTGTGTGTATGTGTGAGTATGTATAAAGTAATGCGTCATATAGCCTTGAAGTAGAATGATCAAAGATATTATCCGACCGACAGGTTGGATAAGAGCACGTAATATGAGTCGCGTCTATGCTCGTCATGTCATTGCTGTTTTCTTTTCCTCTCTTTGATAAAAGTGCTCCAAAAGCCATTTTCGGTGTTCCTACGCCACGTGTCATGTTAGATCGTTCATGACAGCAAGTAAATATTTCACACAACTATTCCTCTACACTTTAATGGTGTCATTCTTTTCTTCCTTCGCAACAATGAGAAACGAGATGAATTTTACGATTGAGAGAGAGAAAAGATTTTTTTCTTCCAAGCAACGATCTTAAGATAACTATTATTATATAAAAAATATAAATGCAAAGGACAAGAATAGTGAATATTTTATTCTTTTATGCTTTTCTTTTATTTATTTTTTTTTTTTCACTTTTTCTTGTTCAATCATCCTTTATCATTTCGGCAGTTTAATTTTTTAAAACGTAGGAATCGTTGTCACGTATATTTTTATATTTGTAAATAAATATAATAAAATTTTTAATTACTATTTATATATTTGTTATTATTGTGAAATTTTTAATTACTATTTGTATATTTTCGACTATGATCATGTAACTAAATAAGCGTATAAACATAATTTAATGATTGAAAACAGAAAAGATAATTCATTGCAATCATTTAAAAATTATATTGTTATGTTATGGAAAAAAAAGAGATGAAGATTAAAGAATCTATAGTTTTTTTTTTTTACCTATCGTTATTTATTGTCAATCAAATAATTTAATAAAATATAAAACAAAATATTTGCACGTTCGATGAAATTTTTTCATAAAATTTCGATAAAATCGGTTTAATCGTTGTATTGATCTTTTCTGTTTCAACATTTATAATAAGAAAAACATTATTTCGAAAATCGTCCATTGCATTCAATTTAACATTCTAAACAGAACTTTTTCTCTATAATAAATAAATCGTACGTAGAATTATTTTACTTTCAATTCCATTAATTTATTGCTATATTTGTTGCTAATATCTACACAGATACAATTAGAAACGAATATCATTATTCGTGCAAAATTTCAAACTAAATAGAAAAGTTCCATTTTTATTAAAACTTGTAGATATAATATATTCTATTTTATAATATATTGTTTAATATGTAGTGTATTATAATAAATCGTATAATATATTGTTTATTGCAATATAGTGATCTCGTAAGACAATATGTTCGCGGTTATTTAAACAAAAAAATTAAATTTCATGATAAGATATAAGAACGAAAAATCAACGAACGTATTCTTCTTACTTCGAAATATTTCCAGACGTTTAATCTTTTAGGTTTGACGAATCTAAAGATCAAATTGATCGTTTCTCCTTTCAAGATTGTACCAGACGTGTAGCGTTTTGACAACAACGTGTTCCTTCGCGAATGTTTCACCACGTCTTGGAAATGGCTTTTGGAAATTCGTGAAATTGGAGTGTTCCAAGTGAAATTCGTTGAGTGAAATGTTTGTTTTGCATAATCGTGATTATTCGTCGTCTCAAGGAAGGATTTTCGGGAAAACTGATACCAAGAGATAACAGAAAGAGAAAAAAAGAGAAAATAGAGAGAGAGAGAGAGAGAGAGAGAGAGAGAGAGAGATGGATAGATTGTTGAAATTAAAGATAGATAGATAGGTAAATAGATACATATATAGATAGGTAGATATATAGATAGATATATATATATAGATAGATAGATAGATAAAGAGAGAGAGAGAGAGAGAGAGAGAGAGAGAGAGAGAGAGAAAGAGAGAAACAAGAAAGGGCAAAAAGATGAGAAGTGGAGTGAAACGAATGATAATTAGTGCCACCTTACACGTCTCATCTTCTTATTAACGCCCATCGTTGTTCCAGCCAATCCCCTTTTTAGACTTTAAGGAAGTCTCCCTTTCGTAACTTGATTAGATACTCTTGTAATTAGAACGTCCTTGTAATTAAGATAGCGCTGGTAAAATCAATTACCTACTTTCGGAAACGATACTCGCTCGGAATTATATAAAAATGTATAATTTCTCTAATAATTAATTATATCTTAAGATAAATTTTAAATTGTTCGTATAAATTTTAATGGTTCGTTGATAGAAAATCGTATAATCGTTTGTTTTTTCTTTTTTTTTTTCTTTCACTTACAGCAAAAGAAATCGAGTATCATCGATTCTCAGCACATCGTCATTATTCTTGTTGTTTTCTCCCTCATCGTTTTTGGCATGAGCTTCGCGTTCTTCTTCAATTGCGTGCGGAAGCTTATTCGTGATCATCGAATCATTCAGGTTAGTAGAAATTGATTTCTATTAGAAAAAAAAATGAAAGAAAAAAATGTCAACTAAACGAACTTTCCATAAAAATTATCGGCCTTTTATCGACTTTAACTCATAAATTGTTAGTCATACCGCGTCGCGTTCAACATCGTATCTTCGGGATTTCAATTACGCAATACACGTAGCAGCATTTCGTTCGATTCTCGCCTCGATCGACTCACGTATCCACGAGCAGAGACGTGCCTAACATTTGAGGAAAAAAAAGAGAAAAAAGATATATATATAGGTAACAACGTTTATTAAAAAGCACTCGATGGAATTTTAAAATGTTTAAAAAATGAAACCAACCGAAAAATAACAATCGATAATATTATGTGATATAAATATTCTAACAACATGCATAAATTAATTTTCTGAAAAGGAAACTTCACGAAGATAGATATATGCTCGTTTAGTAATTTATTCTTCAGTTATCGATTAACTAGTACTAATATTATATAACGCGAGTGAATATATAAAGATCGATATGGAAATGAAAAGACAACAAACTAACAAGAATAGTATACGTTCTATAAGCTACATTGCACCATCGTATTAAAAAATAAGAATAGATAAACATAGATTCTAAGTATATTTAAATAAGTTTAAATACGATTAAATAGACATACGTCTATTTAAAAAAGTAATGAATAAAAAAGAAATATTGAAGAGAATCAAAAATGTTTTCTTTTTAAATATTATTAAATCTATCAAAACAATAGACACGAGAACGATATTAAAAGCTCATCAATAAGAATCTAACTTAACTATTGTCTTTTATCTTTATCCAGGAACACATAAGACAGTCTAGAGAGAATCGATTGGATGAACTAGGTCGTAAATCTACACCGAGGCCTCTTTCAACTTCGAGAACGGACATCAGAGATCGGAGTAGCGAGTCACCTAGCTTGGAAGTGGTACCGAGCAAAGAACTTTTACCACCAAGCACAGTGATAGCAGAAGAATACACGGTAGCTTATAACAACAAAATCACTTACAACGGACGAGACATGAACGACATACATCAAAGTAATAACGTAAGCAACGCGACTCAAGAAAGACTGCAAGAGTCAAATGACGAGCCAGAAATGCGAGATAATTCGTGTCAGACTAGGGAGAGTCTATTCGAGCCACGATTATCGGACACCGTAGTACCTCCAGCGTTCACGACTTTCGGATTTCGGGGCTCGCAAAATGGGACCAATTATCATCGTCATCATCATCATCATCATCACCATCACCCGCAAAGTCCGCAAAAGTCACACCCAAGTCCATCGCTCTCGCATCAGAGCTCTCAACAGTCTTCTCAACAGAGCTCGCATCAGCAGAGTAGCTCTCAGTGTTCAGGTTGCAGTCCAGCATCTAGAGGACGAGATGGTAGTATGGGTATCTGTCCAAAGCACAATCCAATTCCAGCACCGCCAGGTTGGTCAACCCATGAGCTAAGTTATCCTCCTCAACACCAATCCGGGCAATATCAAGAAGTTACGGACTATCCTTCCTATCAGAGGTTCCAAAGTCCAAAACCTAGCGGAGAAGGTGGTAACTATCATCAGTCTCCTAAATTCATCAGACAGAATACCGTAGGTTCCGGCGAAAGATATGGTAGTTCGATCTACGGCTCTGGTCAAAATTCCACACAGATTTCTGCTCATGGTTCCAGCAACACAACGTCAAGTACTCATCACTCGACATCGTCTAAGTCTCAGCAACAACAGCAACAACAACAACAACAACAGCAACCTAGTGACCCCAGGTATAAAGCCGAAGCTATTATCGAAATCGATCAAAGGAGACCATTTAGCATAGAGAGCACAAAATCAGCCCCAGATGTTATAGCAACGCACTGACGCCGGGGCTATGGGGATTGGGAACCTTACAGGAGACGCCATCCCCGTAAAAATATAGATGACACTCAACAAATTCAACAAGAAACACATAACGAGCGAGTTAAAGTAACTGTGGCTACTCAAAGTTCGTTAGACGATGATACGTCGACCAACTCGACGGTAGAACATACATCGTCCTCCTGATCCGTGCATCAAAATATCGTAGTCGATCCACCTGACTCTTTTATCGACGATAAGAACACTTCGAAAAAATCATCTCTTAGCATTTTACCAATCGAACATAAAACATCACTATTCAATGAACTCGCTCTAATACGATTGTCCTCGAAATTGGACGATTTACCGATCTTAAAACCACCTGATAACTTCGGAACGCCTGTCTTCAAATGTAAAACGCCTTCCTTATCCTGGCAGCATTGTGGCTGTCCTTCTCATTCTCATTTGCCATCTCGAAGATCGACGATCACCTGGAGTGCCTTGAAACGTTGCGGACAGGACGCCTTCTATCGCACTTGGCCTAATAGATCCGCTAAAAGGCTACTGCGACCTCAGAAGAGGACCGTCGGTACTCAAAGTTCCTTCGACGGCGTTAAGTCATCGCTTGGGACACTTCGTTGCGTGTCTAGATCGATCGATATGACGGCGACTACGATGGATCAGGAGATCGGGGTATCTATACCTTTCTAACGATAGATTTACGTGTTCTACTCTTCCTCCGATCAATTATTGCTTCATTTTCTTTTTTTCTTCTTTTTAACTAATCCTTATTTATTTTATCTCTCTCTCTCTCTCTCTCTCTCTCTCTCTCTCTCTTTTTGTCTGTTTCACTCTCTCTTTTTTTCATTGAGCCTAAACGAGTAAAAAATCAAAAATTTTCTCACGTCGTGATTTTCAGGAAGAGTGAACAAACGATCCAAAACTGATAATAAACTCTCGAAGCATTTTTAATAACAATTGTCTAACAAGGCCGTACGTAAAAAAAAAAAAAAAACAAGATAAATATTCGCTCTTTCATTCCTATCGTCGAGAAAACTTCTTCGACATTTACGTAAAAAATTCAAACGATATAAAGATCATGTCTGCAAGTTCTAATCGGCAGCAATATTTTAAACTGTCGTAATAATAAAAAGAGTATGTAATCAGTAAGAATCACTGCCTTCGATTCCTAGAGAAAATGTAAGGACATCTTTATCGCGAGCATTCATCAAGGATAATGAAAATAGTAGAGAACGGCCTAAATCGTATTTGGAATTCTTTCGTCGCGTAACATATCGAGAGTTATGAGAATTATTATTCGTTTCTCGACGAATCGCCGAGCACCGTAATTGCCTAAAGTTCGAAGGGAAAATTAATATAATAATAATAATAATAATAATAATAATAATAATAATAATAATAATAATAATAATAATAATAATAATAATAATAAGAAGAAGAAGAAGAAGAAGAAGAAGAAGAAGAAGAAGAAGAAGAAAAAGAATAATAGTAATAATAATAATAAGAATAATAATAATAGTAATAATAATATTAATAATAATAATAATAATAATAATAATAATAGTAATAATAATAATATTAATATTAATATGAATAATAATAAATAAATAAATAAAAATGAATAATGAAAGAATAAAAATGACAAACAATTATTATGTCTGTAGATGTAAAAGATGCTCACACAAACTTATACGATCAAAGTACATATGTTATTATATTCGCTACATACTTACATATGTATGTATATATAATATATATATATATATATATATATATATGTACGTATGTTTGTACATGAATGTACGATTCGTATAGACAAATCTGTCTTCTCCGTGTTCGATCAACGTTCGACGTTGAAAAGGCCTTAACTCGCTCTCCGAGAGAAGATTCCATCGCCTCGAGCAAGGAAGGAGAGACGATTTCCTTCGAATTGCTTTCCATCGAGGGTAAGGACTACTCTCAGAAGCGTTTATCTTTCTTGAATGGAAAGTTTCTACATAGAAACCTACGTACATAGATACATAGTATGCGTTTAACGCATACGAACTATTGTACTTTACGAATGATGTAATAAGGATCGATCAAAATAACAAAATAGATAGAAAAAAGAAAGAAAGAAAAAAAAAACGATCGTTTCTCAATGATCAATAACGATCGAAGGAATGATTCGTGCGTTTATACCTAACGACTATACGATATTAGACGGATATTATTTTTCCACGTAATAAAAATTATCCATCGGTTACCGAGTCGGTCTGCGCACACACGGTGATGAAAGATCATTGAGAATACTGCATTTATAATTAAGTATATATCTCTTATTTATCTCCTATTTTTCCTATTGACCATTCAACAGTCAGCTTCGTGTAATATCAGAAAATGCATTTTTAATGAACGATAAGCATTATTAAGGGGTGGGATCGTATAAATGCGAGTACGTTCGATCAATGGATAAATTTTGTTATTGAAAAACAAACGAATTTTTATTCGTTCATAGAATCATGCAAATTTATACAAGTATTCACTCATTGAAGTAAGAAGAGTTTTTGATTACTCTCGAGATCGATCAAAACGTTCGCATAGTGATAAATCTCGTCCATAGTGATTTCTTTTTTTTTTGCTTCATTTATTTTTTTCATCTTATTTTATTTATTTCTTCTATTTTTTTGGAACACTTTCTATCAATGATGTAACATGTAAAGCTCATGTGTGTGATCATAATGTACTTCTAGCGATCAAGAGTGTGACTAAATTAGTCAATTAACTGTTTCAAAGAAAATAAAGAAAAATAAAAAAAAAAAAAGAAAAAAAGATAGAAAGAAAAATGTATCAAAAAGACACGAAGCTGCGAGTTCAACAAAGTTCTATTATGAAAAAAAGAACTATGTTGAAAAATAGGTGCATAGGGGGCAGTGAAGAGGTACCGATCAATACTTGAAATTCCCGTTTGTGTACAGGTTAATGATTAACAATTTAGATCTTTAATGTACAGAGTGTACACATTTGTATATAATTTCTCTATAAACACTTTAAAAAGCCGATAAGAGTAATAAATATAGTACTTTTAAAGTAAATACAGTTTTATTTCTTTTACCCTGTTCTTTCCCTAATGATAAACTATAATAATAAATTGTTTGTGATTTGAAAGGATGTTTGTAACTCGTGTGAAAACAAAAAAAAAAGAAAAAAACAGTAAAAGAAAAAATTTGTTGGTTCTTATTATTGTTACAAAAAACATAATAAAATTCGACAAAAATTTTATATAAAATTAATTAACTCATTTTCAAAAGTAAATATATTCGATTGAATTTGTGTCAGAATTTAATTTCACCCAATTTTAAGACGAACCGTCATAAAGTACAATATTATTCGCCAAGAATTTTATCGCAAAATTTATTGAGCATTCCCGAGATAAGTAGTATATAGACATCGCGTCTATTGAAATTTCTCTTTAAGAAAAGAAGCACGTTCGGAAAAGGGGTCTGGAAAATAAGAGGGAAAAAAAAAAAAAAAAAAAGAAAAAGAAAAAGAGAAAGAGAATAGATCGTTCTGCGGTTTTCTTTGATTTGAGGAATTTTCGTGAAGCAAGGGGGCGAGATCAACGAAATGTGAATAACGAAGACAGATGGGACAAATCGCGCAAAACGCAAGCACGAGACGTTTCTCTTCGAAATTATGACCTTCACGTTTCTCTCTCAGTTTCTCCTATAACATACACAATTCATACATGACTGTGTACATATGTATATGTCTATTACGTATAAGCGTGTACATATATCCCGAAGCTTTATCTCTTCCACATAATATATAATTTATGTATGTACATCGTGGTCTAGCTAGGAAGAGAGTACCGGTGTAGTATGGTAAAATGACATTTTTAATGGCGTATCCCATCTCGTTCCATTCCATCAAAAACGTCACTCCCAAATTACGCTTGGCAAGAAAGTACCGACTCTGGAAAAATCGAATGTTACGACGGTAATTTAGTGAGGTACCCACTATTCCCTTCTCTCTTCTTCTACTACTAACTCATTCATTTTTTGCCTCTTCTTTCATTTGCATTAGTGACTTTTGACATGTGTACATACATGAAAATTTCACCCATAGAAAATGGTACTTTTCATGATAGAAAATAAAAAACGAATTCAATTTTTCCGTTCATGACGATTAGAAAATTTCCTTTGTATATGATACAAATAATTTTTCATTCCGTTTTTCCTTCTCCCTTTCATTTACATTAGCAATTTTTTATACCCATACATAGGTGAAAATTTCATTGAAAATGATTGATTTTATAATAAACTAGAAAAACGAATTGATTTTCTCTATGACGTTTAAAAAAATCTTTTTATGACACAAGTAATTAATGACAATTAATGATTTAACAAATTCGTCATTATCGACTTTCTCTAAATTTGCAATATAACGGTTCATTGATTTTCTACTTGCATTTAATAGTTTCATCAAAATTAGTAGGATAATTTAGCAATTAGTGGATTAACTCGTGAGAATTTCAAAAGGTCCACTAAGACGAGATACGAATTGCGAACAGGAGTGTAATGTAACAGTAAATTCAAGAGTACATAGCAATAGGAATTCAATATCGCTTAGGTACTTGACCGACAATCGATTCTATCGAGTGTTCATATGTCTGACTGTATGGTCCTTAGTCACTTATGGTTACAGAGGTACTAATACTAAAATACAGATGAATTTTTCGTCCTTACTAAAATTGTTTCCATGGATTTTACGTCAAAATTTAAAGTAAAAATGTTCAAGTATTCTTTCAAAATTTATACGACATTACAATATTAATTATATAGAATATAATATAAATATCACAGACAATCGAATAAGATTTCTATTTCTATCAATTAACTTCAATATATATATATATATTAGATATAAACTTTATATGATTCTAAACTATCTAAAAAGTTTTAACTACAATTTTGATCGTTCGATTGAGTGGAACAATAGCTTTATACATCACTCCTATTTTTCCAATTGTATTGTAACTCCTGTCAAATCTCTTCAATGTAACTACGATCTCTCGAATTCAATACGTGATATTTCGATATGCGAATTTTTCATTTAATTTTTACGTGTATTTTTATCAAATAAAAATCTCTACATAGGTTGTCGAATGAAGAAAGAAAACAAAAGATATATCTACTTCTATGTATATACGTATTTATAAATCAAAGAGCAAGAACACGTATGTGGAACGGATTTATATATTATTATTCGTTGTAAAATTGTAGCTGTGAATTAACGACCTGTCAAACAATTTCATCTGACGTTTTCTCTTCACGCTATTATCGTGCATGTATTTAAGTATTTACTAGTTTAGTATATAACTGATATAAAAAATTTTTAATTATAATCGTTACTTTATATTTAAGCAGTCGCTTTTGCTCGCTCTCTCTCTCTCTCTCTCTCTCTCTCTCTCTCTCTCTTTCTCTCTTTCTCTCTCTCTGTTTCTCTCTCTTTCTTTCTCTCTTTCTCTCTCTCTGTTTCTCTCTCTTTCTTTCTCTCTCTCTCTCATATATTTATACATATACGTATATATGCATATACATATATATACATATACATATATGTTAGACACTTCATAACATTCTCGATAAAGTTCACGATAACTCGAATTTGGTGGGTCTTTAAAATTTAAATCGACGCTACGTACGTTCATGAATGTATGCATAACGAATATAGAACTACCACTTGCGTTTACATTGTACTTCCTCTACTTTGAAACGATGCATCAGTAGGGAAGAGATTAGCCAGCCGATTGCACCGGAGATATTCCCAAACGAGTGATCTCGGATAAATTGAAAATTCATGTTTGATCTTTCGAGATCTCTTGTTACAAACCGGAAAATATTCTTTCTTTTCTTCGTTCACAGCGACGACAACAACGACAATAGGAACTCAAAAATATTATGTACTAGATATAGATATATATATATATATATACATACATACATGCATGTA